TCAAAACAAATAAACAAACAAAAAACAAAAAACCACTATCACCCTTATTAATATGCTTTTCATAAATGAAAAAGAGTCACTGAAAACCCTTTTCCCTACCCAGCCTGTACAATACTGACACAAATCTCTTATAGAACAGGACACCCATGTCTAAGCACATGTTCATGTGCCCATGGTGTAATGTTTGCTGAGACTTAACAACCCTCAGAGGAAAAAGGGTTCTCAGCTTCTGGTACTATTTCATCTTATAAGATGAAAAATGAAATGAAATGAAATTGAAATGAAATAACGAAACTGAAATGAAATAAAAAAATGGATGTGACCTGTGGCTACTCCAGTACCATGGGTTACATCCAGAAGGAATCCTCTGCCTCAGCCCTCCCTAGAAGTCAGGCAGGGCCTCTGTAGCCAAGTGATGAGGGTGTCAGTCCCACCTATTTCTACAGGTTAAGCCATGAACTAGAACTAGAAATTGAGTTTTGCAAAACTGTAGGATAGAAAAGCAATACAGCAGTCCTCCTTATCCATGGGAGATACATTCCAGGACCCTCAGTGGATGCGCAAAACTTCAAATAGTACTGAACCCAATTGCCATCAATTGGAAATTATGAGTTTATGAGTTTCTGCTTATGACTTCCACCAACAAATTAATGGCCTTTTCCATCTTAACTGTGTGCTATCACTCACTGTGGCCATAACAGTTGCAGTTTGAGGTGTGATAGCAAAACTAGCACTAATTTATTTTTCCTTTATCATGATAACATAGAAGATTCGTTCTCACCATAAATCTTAGCAACCTCAGCAATTTTTTTCTTTCCTTATTAAGCCAAGAACTTTCTTTCACCTTTTCACTTAAAGGAAGCACTTCACAGCTTCTCTGTGGCATATCCAAATTGCCAGCATCATTCCTCTTGCACCCTGAGCCTATTATTAAGTAAGATAAGGGTTACCTGAATACAAGTACTGTGATACTGCGACGGTAGATCTGATAACCAAGACAGTTACCAAGTGACTAATGGGCAGGTAGCACATACAGTGTGGATAAGGTGGAAAAGGGATGATTCACGTCCTGAAAGGGACTGAACAAGATTGTGTGAGATTTCATCACGCTACTCAGAATAGTGTACAACTTTAAATTTATTTCTGGAACTTTCTATTTAATATTTTCAGACTGCAATTTACCGACCACAGGGAACTGAAACCACAAAAAGCAAAATCATGGATGAGGGGGAACTACTGTATACAAAAATCAGTTGGGTATCTCCTAATTCATTGTACCAGGCCAACATTATCCTGATACCAAAG